CCTGTATTTTTTTAGATTCATGCATGAGATCCTCAAATACTGCAGTAGTAGATCTAGAGGGATCAAATTCTTCAGGATCTGGAATTTCAGAAGGAGGTAGTGCCTTGAATGATACATCTTCAGTTTCTGCAAGTTCATTGAAGAAATCTCGGACAATATTCCATTTTGGTTCATCAGGAAATTTAGCAAATAATACTACATCATTGCAGAGGATATATCTTGATCCATTTTCCTTATCTGCTTTTTTAGTACCCATTAAAAGATTTATAACATTACTAGTTTTTCTCGAACCTGAACTTCCAGCTACAACCATTCGAAATGGTGATATTGGTGCAAATTCATTTCCCTGTTTCAAAGGTTGGTATTCATCATCATTGTATTCAAAATACTCCATGTTTTTTTTCAACTATTAGAATAGTAAATCTATATCTTTAATTATGGATGAAATTATCAGAACTAATAGAGAATTGCGCAAACAGTTGGCTGAGGATGATGAGATCATATCTAAATATGAAACTAGAATTAAATCATTAGTGCGGGATCTTGAAAATAGCAATCTAGAAATTCATTATCTGGGTAAATCCCTAATACAACGTGAAGCAGAAATTGAAACTTTGAAAGAGGATAATAAAAATCTATCAATCCAACTTCGGAAGGCTTTACAAGATATAGAGTCTAAAGAAAAATTTATCGTTTTTAGAGAAGAACAATTTATAGCATTAGAAGATAAAATTTCAACATTTAATAAGAAGCCAAAAATGAGTTCCCCACGTCAACGTCAAATACAACCACCTAATCCAAATGAAATTGACATAAGTACTGATAGTATTAATTCTGCATGCAGAAGTCTTGATGAGTTCATACAAAGGCCAAATAATTCTACTCTAAATCAGAGGACTGCGGTGAATAAGCTTAATGAAATTACTACATTTACACATAGGCTCCGAGATATTGCTAAATGGAATGCTGATCAATTAGCACCACTTCAGGCCCAAATACAGCAAAATCTTCAAGCATTCAATCAGGTGAATATTCAGCTTACACAGGCCCAGAGAGATCTTAATCAACTTCATCAGGATTATCTTCAGCTTAATATCACTCATACTCAGCTTAATAATACTCATAATCAATTTGTTAATGCTCAGACTCAGTTTATTAATAATACTCACAATCCACTTGTTCAGGCCAATCACCAGCTTACTCAGGCCTATAACTTTTTCCAACCAAAATATGTAAAATGGAAACAAAAAGCCAAAAACTCTGTTGGGCAATTACAAATATTCCAACAAAAACACGTAAAATGGAAACAAAGAGCCAGAAATCCTGATGTTATTTGGCTTGTAGGATTTTCAAATTGAAGCCTTGATATTTGTATTAAAATCAACATGGCTGGAGTTTCAGTAGCAATACCTAATTTTTCAGGCGGTATGGATGAAGATATTACTACTTTTGTCAGGAGATTTCATGGGTTTCTAGATAGTATTAATATTAATGTAAGGGATAACGCACAAAGAGTTCGAGCTACAGGTTTATTCCGAAGTGCTTTGTCTGGACCTGCTGGTGATTGGTATGATGAAGAAATACTCGGAAAAAATTGGATGTTAGCTAATATATATGACAATACTACTGTAAATACTACAG